CATGGCAAGTCATTGTAACATAGTTTCCTGGATTGGACCCTAGAACAGAAGGAGGACATTGATGGAAAAACTAGTAGAATGTGAACTAAGTCCATAGTTTAGTGAATAATGTTATACTAGTGTTAGTTTCATGGTTTGGCTATATGTACTGTGGCTATGTAAAGTGTTAATGTGAAGGAAGCTAGGTGAAGGTGTTGTACTGTGTCTACCATTTTTGGTGTGTCTGAAGTCATCTCAAAGTAAAAAGTTTTTTTAAATTCCAGGGAAATATGTAGAAAAATAGTATGTTCGTATGGTTCAAGTGAATGGGGAAAATAGCAATAACCAAATGTTAGTGTTTTTCTAGAAACAAAACTTCCCTTTTTCCCATATGGACTCAGTATGATTTGTATGTTGTGTGTTTTCATGTTATTTTCCTAAGTTGCTAATTTGTTTGCAATTCCTATATGTCTTACTGTTTTAAATAATTTGCCTACTGTACTGCTGAAGAAATAAATGTCTCCTGAAGGCTCATGCCTTTTTGTTTTCAGAGTTTCTATGTGCTTAGCATTGAACTTCTAAGATAGTAAAATTTTTTACTATAAGAAATGCAAGAGACGGTTTTGGTGGCTTTTCTTTTCTGAAGATTTATGATATGCTTTCAAAGATAAAATCTGGAATCAGTCTAAGTCTTTTATATTTGCCGATCTTGTTAGTTTGTCACTTTCCTTTCAGAGCACATGGGTCATTAATATTTATGAGTTCATACCTGGCAACCTGTTTGTAAAGCGTCAACCCATAAGCCCATATCCCTCCTCCTTAGTGTCGCTAGGTGATTCCCCTTTGCACCAAATTCCTCAGGAGGCCTCATTGATTTTAGAGTAGAATAGATAATTAAAGAATATAATCTGTTAAAGGCTTACGTATTACTCATAGTTAGTGTTTAGATATTTTTGTGCTGTTTTGAAATTTTCAACTCATTTTGTCCATTGATTCTTACATAGAACTGGAATGAAAAGATAGCTGTATAGACTCAAGAAATTATTGAAATCTAGAAAGCACACTGCTGTTTAGCTAGATTCCTTTCACTTAATCCCAATTATGCACATTGTTGTTTCCTTATTTAACTTCATGTAATGCTAAAAGTACAGATTTTTTTAAACTTTTTTTTCATATTCTTGAATGATATCTGCAGTTTTGATTATTCAAAGTGAATAAATACTTGAGGATATGTTTTTGTTTTTGTTTTTCTTAAAGTGGTTTGACATTTCTTATTTGGCACCCTACTACACTCTTTTCCATCTTCTATGAGAACATTAAAGAGGTCCATCTTCTGGATGTATTCCTATATTGCTTGGCACAGCATAGGTGAGGTCAGTCCCTGATGCCTGGCTTTGCACTTGAGCCTCATCCTCTTCAGACTGTTTTTTGGCTAGCTGCACCCTCAGTAAACATGGTGATCTACCTCCCAGTCTCAGGTGCCATCCTTCCCAGGGCTGCAAGAGAGCGCCCTTCCCTCACAGCCTTGCCTGTCTCCCACAACAGCCCCCAGAAGTGCCCTTGTGGAAGACACACCATTCTGTATGCTGTAATACTTACTGACTCAGCCCTTTACCATAGAATTTTCTGCATTTTTACCATGTCTCTTCATTGAGACTCCATGACAGAAGGACATTTTACGTGTACAAGCCCACATAGCACCAACCAACTGAAGTATGAAATGTCATCCACATGTGTAAACTGCCTTTGTCCTTTCCCTCACCCCACAGCCCCAGGTACATACCTTAGATGGGGCATGCGTGCCTAAAGGTGACTTTCCCTGAGTTATTCCACAGTCTCACTTTGTTACACAGCTTTAATTTCATCAAGATGCTATAATTTGTATTTAAAATGCCATTGTTCTTGGAGTAATTAATGAGCAGCACTTATTAACACATGAATCTTTCAGTTTTTCTGCACTGGCTTAGACTTTGTTAGGAGGAAAGGTCTTAACCTTTGTCTATGTTGGACTATGGAATCAAGTGAATATTTTGACTTGTAGGAACAGTGAGCTGCACCTAACAAGATGCTATAATTTACCCATGTAAGGAAATACACATAATATCTCAGAAGTGCTAAATCATAGTAGTGAGTCCTTGCTAAAATCAACATTATCGTGTTCTCGTTGCTTTTATTTGTAAGACTAGTCCTGGAAGTCTTAACCAAGAAGGGCAGTGTTATTTCCAGATGAAGGTTCATTCCAAATTCCATATAACCAAAGCAATATATACACTTTCTTATCTAGTTATTTTTATGGTCAGTACTCCCCATGCTGTGTTAAAAGGTCTCTTTGTTATTCTTTCTAGTCTACACAGCTTCTGGAAATTGTTGTTAGTAGTGAAAGAGCAGAGCATCTCCCTGGCAGAGATCAAAAACAGAGAATATTTTAGGAACCCCCCAAGGCCCATGCAATGGAAAAAAAAATCTCATCATGATGCATATTTCATACTTACCTTGATACCAACTCTGAATTTAGACTGCAGCACACTTCATACCAAGAGTTTCACCCAAAGACCTTTGAGGATAGCTTTTACTTAGGTGTTAATTCAAAAAAAAAAACAAAAAAGGATATATAGCCATCATGATAATATTTATGTATAATAGTGTGCTTAACTGTGGATCCTGTTTTTTCATCATGTCAGTTTAGTTGATTGTTCTGTAACTGTTCCCTTAAAATGAGAATTACCCATGTGGAATCTTTGCTTGAGAAGGAATGCAGATGAATCAGGAAAAAGTCATTTTGCAAAAAGTGGTTCTTAACTACCTCTCATGTCTCTTAACATGAATTTTGCCACATAAATTTTTCTTGTATTGTGCTTTGTTTTCAGTCATTTGTGGAACTTGTGACTGTTTTAAAATTAAACTTTTAAAGTTTAAACTTTTAGGTTTTAAATTAAACTTTTTTTCCTAGTTGACCTCACACATCTTACAGCTATGCATTATATATATTGTCACATATAATGAAGGGATAAATATTTGGGCATGTTTAAAAAGATGTGTATAACTTGGAAGTCTGGTTTTAAGGGCTAAAAATTAGTGGTTGGAAGGATTTTCTTTGTGAACTTTTGTCTTTCTGGTGTCTTTGTATTTTTCTCATTTAGACAGGAAGTCTAAGTTTTTGACTCATTTGCTGTCTGGACAAATGAGAACAGCAGGGACTTCTGTAAATATCATGAAATAAAGAATTACAGCATGCATTTGAGAAGAAGCTTAGAAATTTGAAAATTAAACAGTCACTGTAAGGATTCTCCTCTTGTGTGTCAGTGATATTATTAATGCAATTCTAATACCAAGTTCAAGGTATCAAGTTTCTAAAACAATAGTTCCAAAATAAGGTGGAAGATACAAAGTCATTTTACTGTACATTTTGAAAGAACTAAGAAGCTAATGAGGCTGGATACATGACCTCCCAGGATGTTGATTGAAACAGGACTTTTATTGATAAATTTTAATAGCTGGATCAGTAGTTTTTAGTAGAGCTTTTGCACTAAATAATTTAAAATAAAAATATTTGCATGTGCTGAATTAATTCGTGTAGTGTTTACAGCTGTATTTCACTGTAGAACTTAAAATTATAAGTTCTAAAATTTGCCTGTGAACAGTCAAATTTCTTTTCTCTGCCATATACCTGACAGTCACTCTCCTTAAGAAAGTTCTGGTCTACTTGAAGAAATACACACTTACCTTTCATGCTTAACCATTCTAAAAAGGAGCATAAACTCTTTTCTGCTTTTGAAGATCACTAAGAGACTTTTTGAAGAACTCCAAACTGGACTTTTAACCTATGATTTAAACCCCTAGGAAGTCACCATGAGAAATCACTATTAAAATCTGAAACAAGAAACTTGTGCTTATTGCATGGATTGAAATCTCTTCTCTAGTTCTTACTTGGTGTTTATCCCCCCTGCTCTACTCCAAGCAAGAGATGCCCAAATGGGTGCAGCCCAAGGCAACTCGCCATCAGCATTGATCTACATCATCAACAAATTGTACACCATGACTTAGAGTGTTTGGAAGTATATTTGATTTTTTAAAAACAACTTAAGCAAGAGAGCACAATTTTCTGACTTATTCCCACTTGAAGACAGTAAAAATGGGATTGACTGAATTTGTCCTTTAGTAGGCTAAGTTATGCTAAATTGAGTTCCACCAAAGCCAATAATGTCTTTTGATGTAGTGAGTCATAATTGTATTAATGTAAAATATTTTCAGGGAGGTTCATGTGCGATATGTTGTCATGAGATATATACCTAATGTTGTATGTCTGTTTTATTTATGTGTAGATCTTTAAATATTCTTCCCATGCCTTCTTTGTGGAGTGTGTCTATATCTTCTCTCTGTCACTGTCCTTCCCAGCCCCACCCCACCACGTTGAATCAGAAATATCATTGTGCTGTATGCTAATTTATGTTTCTCTTGTTGGTGTCTGATAAGATTACTACTGCTCTCTGGCGGTATTTCATTCTGTGCCAAGTTTAACCTCTTTACTTGCCACCTGGGCTAGAATGAAAATTTTAAATGGACAGAGAGGGGTGATAACTACAGAGATAAAGTCTTTGCAGAGAACTTTCATTTAAAATATGTTTTAAAGTAAAACAAGCTTTGTAGATGTTTTAGAGTTGCGTTTTTTAAATGATAAATTGACCAGAGCTACATTATTTTTGTTGTGTTGGGAAGTGTTCGGTATTCTGAGTGATGTCAGATATTGAAAATTCAATTCTATAGTAGAATTTCACCAAAGCAAATTATAATAGCGAAAGATTGACTTTAACTATGGTATGCATGAGCCTATGAAATCATTGCCTCACCCTTCACTCCATTAAAAAAGGGTAGGATTTAAGGAATGCTGTGGGGCCAAGGGCTGCAGCCCCCAAGAGACCTCCCTGCAGTCCCCTATCTGCCAGCTTCCCAGCAAGATAAATGGAAGCACTGTAGCTTGAAGGTGTCTCTGCTGGAATGAGATGCAGTGAGCCTCTCTGTTCTTTACAGGCATCATAGATCTGATAAAAGAAGAGAGTTGGTGCCCTGCTGAGTAAGTTGTCCTCTAGGGGAGTGTTAGTTACAGAGCTTCTTTGTTCACGAGGCTGAATGCTTAAACCACTGTTGCACTTTCATTAGCCTGTTTTAAGATAGCCCTACATATACATACCCCAAGTACCTGCAGGTGGGAATATTTCCATATAATTTACATATAAAATTATGTGTGTACAACAGTAATATAAAAATTATATCTTTTATTACTCTTGCGTTATACCAAGGTCTAGTCCGCACTGAAATTCTCATGACATGTGAACACGAAGAAAGCCACTGTTTTTATATTTTTCTCTTGATATTTCCTTGATCAGCTTGTTGAATAACAGAAATGTTTTTGATGCCTTTGCAGCTTGAATGAGGCTCTCTTAACCACCCATCTGTGTCATTTTCTCAACCATAACATGGAATTTTAAGGGAGGACGGGGAAGGAATTTGTAGGTCATGCAGAGAATTACAAAAATTTCAAAGTAACATTTTGCTTTTTATGAAGAAAGATTTGCTTTAAATTATTTAGCTACAATTGATGGTTTCTTAAAAACTGAATCTGCAGTGTCTTTTTCTGTGTTTAACTCCATATGGAATGTAATAGAAAAATGGTTATGTATCTAGCCATCTACCATGTTTTCTCTAAAGAGACGTGGGAAATATTTCCTCTTGGGAGTCTTGTCTGATTGGCCCTTATTTCCTCAGATTCCCCACTAGTTAGGTGTTATTGAAGCACCTAACTAATGGAGGCCACCGCCCATTCTCACGGAAAGCTACCTAGGTGATAAGAACACTTTTAAAAAGTTAAAACCTACAGCTGACATTAGCTCAGTGTAGTAATGGGGTTAGTTTCTGTTCTTAGTAAAGTTTGTGCAAATCATCATATACACTGAGGTCTTTGTGCAGTTCAGTTGAGGCTTGTCTTAATTAAGACTCCCCAATGAAAAGGCAAAGGCAATAGAGGTGACATTAGTATGGATGGTTCTTTGAGTCTGGGGCCAGCAAACTTTTGCTATCAAGGCCAGACAGTAAACATTCCTTTCCAGTATTGTAGGCCACGTGGTCCTGTCTGAGCCACTGTGTTCTGCCATTGCCCAGGGCAGCCCAGGCATCCTAAGGAACGGACATGGCTTATTCCAATGGAATATGGTAGATGTCTTCATTTCAATTTCAGATATTCCACAATATCATGGAAGTAAAAATATCATTATTTCATTATAATGGCACTTCGCAATTATTTAAAATTCAAGAATTTTTTCAAACATTTAAAAATGTATAGCTTGTGGGCAAAGCATAGCAAGGATCATGTTCAGCCCACACACAGTGCCTTGTCTTTGAAGGGCCACTGCAGGCTTGTCCCTTCTCCTGGGAGGCAGACACTGAAAGAATTACTCCAGATGCCCAGCCCTCTTCCCCACCCACAACCCTACCCAAGTCAAAGGCTGTGTATAGTGAGAAGTCAGCATGCACCTAGGGATGGAGAAAAGGACAAAATTGGGCCTTGCTTTCTCTTTGAGCACATCAGTATGTGTGCATGTTACACATCTATTAACTAAGTTCTGTTTTGAGGAATTCTGATGATTGTCTTGACCATTAAAGTATGACTTCTTTTTGCATGGCATGTAGCATGTTACTAGCTTAGTAACCTTCCTGTGTTTCTATCTGGCTTCACAAAGCAAGAAATACAGGGAGGTTATTTAATTCTGAATACATTGTATTTAATTCTGAAATACCATTGACACCAATAATCAAGTTGTATAGGAAGTTTTACCAGCCAAATATGTGTAAAATCATGCATCTTCAGGTACCGGAGCAGAAATATTTGTGTTTTATCCCTGAATTCTAAAAAATCCCATTTCAATTTACCTCATTATATTTTACAAATTTGATAATAATACTTTTTCCTTTCAGTCTACCCTACTGCCATTGTATTGTTTTTCATAGGCGCAGTTATTTGACATTGAAGATAACTCCTTTATTTTAGTTAGAAAGATGTATTCTTATAACACAAGACATTTTTTTCTATAACATTCTTCTTTTCGTGAGGTTCACATCAGCTGTATTTTAGAATGTATATTTTTATCATTAATAATTTTCCATTTAATTATAATAGATGGTCAGTAGACTATTTACTTTCCAGGGGATGAGGAGAATAAAGCCTGAGTTTGTTTTTTGACATTTTGGGGCACCCTGAAGGTCCGTGACCAGCTCTGTTTTACCTAACCCCTTTCATTCTCTCTAGGCTAGCTTTAATCTTAGAACCTGAAGGACTTCCCTTCTGTCTCAGTTTTGAAAAGCTCTAGTTTCAAAAAACTCCATAACAAGTGAAGTTAAACATTAATAAAGTGGAGTCCACAGAGGATGTCTATAGGATTGAATCTGCCTTGTAGGCAGTAGTATAGCCAGATATTTCTCATTTCGTTCTGCACTACTTAGTCCTAAATTACCAGGGTAAGTATTTTTTTATATTGCAACTTAATCTTTAGAACTCAGTCAGCATGAGAATCATGTTGGGATTTTGCATAACTGGAGATCCCAAGTCATTACTGAGCATCTGCTGGTGACAGTGCCCATTCTAGTCCATGAGGCACAGCAGTGAAGGGGTCAACATTGTCTTTGTCCACCACACATTCTGGTGAGGGTGCCAAAAACCATTTTCTCCTTTCTCTTTCTCATCTTCCCTTTATTTTATTTTTTTAATACTTGCATTCTGCCCCCACTAGTGTGACCTTCAGCAGTAACTTTGAATTTCAGTTTTGTGAATCCTTCAAGTGGAGGTGTTAATAACTGTGCAAAATTATTATACAAAGGACTTATTTCTGCCAACATGACTTCAAAGTGATTTATTTCCACAGTATTATAAAAATAAAATATCATTATTTCATTGTAATGGCACTTTGCAATTATTTAAAATGCAAGAATTTCTCACCACAACATTAGGTAAAATTCTGACCATTATTAGATTATAATGTCCTAGTCTGAAATTCAGTCTGCCAGTGTTGAATTCCAAATAAAGGGACTGAAGCATGTAGTTGCTCAGTTTATTGATGTCTTCATGTAGGACCAGCCTTCTATTCCTGTGGTAATAATCCTGCCGAGTGCTGCTTGGAACAGCACTGTAAACAGGTCTAACTGGCTCAGTGCTGGCAGCAGAAAGGAAAACTACAAGGATGACTTTATGAACGAGAACTGCAACTTTCCTCATTTTTTAGGACATGCCAGATCTTACAAGTTCATCGTATGAATCTTGGGCATTATTCACGAAAACTTTCTCTGAAAGTTTCAAATACTGTTTTGAGTGGATGTTGGTCCAAATATGTATTACTTAGTGAATTTGTGATTTTTCTTTCTTTTCTTAGGACCTGTCTGGCTCCATTGATGACCTCCCCACAGGAACAGAAGCAACTTTGAGCTCAGCAGTTAGTGCCTCTGGGTCCACAAGCAGCCAGGGGGATCAGAGCAACCCAGCTCAGTCACCTTTCTCTCCACATGCATCGCCCCATCTCTCCAGCATCCCAGGAGGCCCATCACCTTCTCCTGTTGGCTCTCCTGTAGGAAGCAACCAGTCACGATCTGGCCCAATCTCTCCTGCAAGTATTCCAGGTATTCGCCTTCTTAGTCATTATTCTCCTGTGTCTCTGCTGAAGACAGATCTGGCCTTTGTCTATACTGCTTGCATTCCATTACTTTGTTTTACTGTTTAAAAACCTGCTGATAGGGCCACTTGTTAGGAGCATAAATGCATTCTCACTGAAGAGCATCCTACTTTAACCAGCCATTTAATAAAATGACCACCTGCTTTGACATTTTTCAGTTTTCCGGAAACAAAACACTGTTTCTTCTCTTAGTTATGTTTTGTAATGACTCTGTTAAAGAAGATCCTTTGTTGATAAGTACAGTTTGTTGACTGGTATTGGCTTATTTTGTGGTCTAGTCCCGATCTACCAGCGTAGTTTTTTTCTAAGCATTCTTGACCCTATCTGATCACATTCTTCACTGATCAGTGCCTCTGATCACACAAATGCCTCTGCTGGCACAAACTCATGTTCCAGTTAACTCGTGTGTTCAGTTTTTCATTTGTCCTACATCTGCTCTATCCTCTTCCTTTTTTGATGTTCTTAAGGTTATTTTTCAGTTGCTTCGTTCTCATCCAGCTTTTTCCTACTAAATGTCATCCATTTAGAACCCCCACCAAGTAATTAGCTTTCCTGTATCACTAAACTATATGTAATTTTTTTTCATTGCAACTTTTGCTAACATAATACAGTGCCAGAAAGCACTTCTACTAACCTGTCAGAATGGACATTGATTTGCTAATAAGTTTCCTCATAATTTATTCTTTCTCTTTTAACATTTTACCTTTATATTTTTATAAAATGTTTATTATGAAATATTTATTGAAATATTTGTATAAATATTTTAGTTATATTTACAAAAATATAAATGTTTATATTGTGGAATATTATATGAGCTTACTTAGGTAGCATGCAAAATATGAAGTACAACTATCAAATGAATACTCATGAATCCCCCATCTGGTTTAAGACTTGAAGTATTACTGATGCTGTTATATCTACTTGTATGTTCCTTTCTAATCTGTTCTCTGTATGTTTTTTTATCACTTTTTTCTTATTTTTGTCTTTTTAGAATTGTTTTATAAATGTAGAGTGTATTTCATTAGTTTATTTAGACCTGTATCCCATTTAGGATGACTATAGAGTATTATGCCCAAACCGAGGTACACTGGAGCATGTAAAGGAATGCTGTTAAGAATTACAGTAGGACAACATGAATAAACTAAGAAGGTCCTAGGTAAATGAGAAAATATTCAGTCACACTGTGTACAATGTGCTACCTCTTGCTTCTTTTACGTAACTTTTCTAAGATTCTTTTGTAATTTGGATATAGCTATAGTTTTCTTGTGGGTTTGTTTGCTTGTTTTTCTTTTTTTCTTTAAATAATAGCTGTAGTTTTAGTACATTTGATGGTACCTTTCTTTTAAATATATTTGTTTGTTCTCATAGTGATTATAATAAAACCTAGTTTTACTTGTTCTTAGCAGTGTTAAATGCTGTGACTACTCCTACTCAGAAGGCAATTCTTAGTGTTCAGATGGCATACCTACCTATGTGCTGGAAAGTTTTACATAAAATATTCCATTCTATGAAGAAGAGCTGATATTCCTTCTGAATTGGATCATAAGGACTTTAATAACCTCAACACAACTTTTCTAAAGTATAAAGACATTGTAGTTTTTAACTTTAAACCCCTGGAGTGGATAGTTGAAAATATGTTTATCATTCCAAATAGAGATTTGTTTTCATTGATTGGGTTGTGATGGGCTGCAGAATATATAGCCTACCAAAAAAGCTCACTTAGGACACATGACCCTGAATGATTGGGCATTAAGTTATATCAAGCAGTGCAGAGGAGATAATTCAGATTTAATTGGTAGCAAAAACCAGTGCTACCAGTTGTATTTTTTGGAGAGTAAAAGTTGGTTAGTGGATTACTCCCTGGAACAAATGCCATCAGTCCTTCCCAGAAACAACAGGTGTAGGCACAGAAGGGAAGACAAAGGCTTATATAGAATTTCTCTCTGCCAGCTTCTTTCTTTAATAGAAAGCTTTCAGCTCATTGTGGTGGCATGCACCTGTAATCCCAGCACTCAAAAACTGAGGCAGGAGAATTATGAGATTGAGGCCAGACTGGTCTTCATAGAGTGCTCAAGACCCGTCTGAGTCACATAATGAGATGTTGTCTCAAAAACCCAACACTGGGTGATGCAGCTCAGTGGTGAAACACTAGCATAGCCTGTACAAGACCACAAAACCAAAACAAAAACAACCCTTCTAGCTGTCCGGGAAATGTGGAAAGGATAAGATGTGCTGTTCCAAGTTGGCTTCACTGCTAGCTTCTGTGTGGTTCTTTATCAGGCTCTTCAGTGACAGGAAAGGGAAAAAAGTAGGCAGTAAAAAGCCCTACCTTTTTTAGTGGTATATTCTTGAAGTAAACTGTCTTTTCTGAGCATGACGATATGCAGTATAAATTATATAACATGACAAATAGAGAATTTCTTATTAGTGTTATTCTGAGAAGAGTAACCTTTTAAAAAAACTGATAAGCAGTTTCAGCATTTGTTAACTTTTTTCCCAAATGGAATTATAGTGAGCATCTGATCCCTTCTCTTCATTTTAGAGCCACTAACCTAACTGTATAACTTTGAGGAAGCTTCTAAACCTCGTTGTGCATCTGTAAAGATAGTAAGCCCATTTCATAAAGCTCTATAAAGATCAGCTATGTTGCAACATGTAAGATAGGTATATAGTGAGCATTCAAGTGAGTGTGGATTATTGTTGCCAGTACAGTTATTGTTATCTCTCCAGACTGAGACCTAGAAACTTCTCTGTAATTATTGTCCAGAGTCATTCTGTGAGTTTTGGCAACAAGTCTTGTGATTCCTCATCCAGTGGTATTCATGTATCATTTGGCAAACATGTCTGTGAGGTGTCCAGTGATGGTTTGCTGTGTTTACTGACGTTTTTCTAGAGGACTTCTAGAGCTGGCCACAGGACTAGAGGCACTGTTCATGTAATTGAGAATACTGTAACAAACAAAAACAAAGCTAGCCATAAAGAAGCGTAATGTCTTTTCACAAAGTAGAAACCATTTTTCTTCTAACTAGAAAACAGGTCCACAGTTGCTCTTCTTGGCAGTTGGAACTGAGAAAGTGAGAAAAAGACCAGAAAGCAACTGTATCCCAGAAAATCATTGAAATTTTGCTATTTTCTCTGCACATAGAAATCTAAGCTATAGTTCACCTGTGCTGACTCAGATCATACCCAAGTTGATTTCTCTGTGGTGGGCAGGCACACTAGCATTCCAGAATCCTGGGTTATTTCTTGTTTTTTATTTTGGGGAATTTTGTTGTTTTTTTGTTTTGTTTGTTTTTGGGGTTTGGTTTTTTTGTTTTGTTTTTGCCTATAAAGACAAAATCAGCTAAATGTGAGCAGTGCTCCCTTCCTAGTGGCCCTAGCCAGGGTGGCCACACATTCAGATTGCTGCTTGCATAAGACATGGGTCCCAGGGAAAGCTGGTTAACATTCATCCTCTTTTCTTTGGGAAAGGGCACCCTTTTCTTATTCATACAAAGGACCCAGGAAGCTCTCAGCAGCCTTGACTTAGACAATTTAGGAAGTAGACCAGGACTTGTATCCCAGGTTTGACTTGGTTCTTCTCTTTCTCTTTTCCCCCAGCTAAGCCAGGGGTGTTCAACTGTGATTTCCTCATCCCCTGCTACCCTATCCCCCTGCCCTATGCTGGAGATCAAATCCAGGACCTCAAGCTTGCTAAGCAAGCACTCTACCACTGGACTATATTCCTCAGCCTCAAACCTAATTTTTTGCTAGATGTTCATTAAATTTTATATGGTGCTATTTTAATGAAATCTCTGTAAAAATCTTGACAGATTATTTCTCATGGTGGTATACACTTGTTATCTTGGGAGGCTGAGGCAGGAGGATTGCAGGTTCAAGACCAGGCTGGGTATTTAGCAAAACCCTGTCTCAAAATATATATCATGACAGATTTTTATTGAAATAAATGTACTGGTCTCTATTTCCTTTCCTTGCACCTAACCTACATTCACCCCCTTCTTTTTAAAATTAATATATCCTTGTTCTCTGGGAATAATTAAATAAATAGAGTTTTTCAACATATATTATGTCATGTGTTTGTGTAAATTTGGTCATAGGTAATAAATCACACTTTGGAGTCAATCAGAAACTTAGTATTTGTTTTCATTTTTTATTTACTTTTAAGTAAATACAAATATACCTTCTGTTAGGGAATAATTAGGCCCATTTACCTCCTTCCTTTCCCATTGCTAGTCCTTATGTTTAGATATTGTTGACTGGCCATTAGCTGCTAAGATAATGTATAGTCTCCTTTCACTTGGCTCTAAGTCTGTATCAGTTACATGGAAATGTCATGTGGGAATGGGATAGTTTCTCAAGGCATGATTCTTAAACTACTGCTTTTAGAACGTTTTGTTGGAATTTTTATTTATTTACTATGCATAGGCCTTTTGCTTGCTTTCTCTCCCCTGCTTCCTCTGATCCCCAGTACCATCTCTTTTTTTTTTCTTCTGACTTCACTTCTCTCCCATCATGTCCTGTTGTATCTTGCCACTTCCTCTCCCTGTGTCACAGATTGATTCTTTCAGTCATTGTCTCCCCAACAAATTATTGTGAAACATTCTGTTTTGTGCAACTAATGACTGTCATGAGGTAAAACCAAATGGTTTTTTTGGAGGGATGGGTGGGAAGGGGGAGAAAAGGCTCTTCCTGTTGGTGTTTTCCCAGGATTTGTTAGAAAAGAGTAACCCCTTTTCTCCTCTGCCCTGATAAATGAAATTAACAGCAAATGAGAAGCATCACAGATAAACAAAGCCCAGTAAAGCATCCCAAATGGCTGATTGTGACTCTTCCCAGTGAAACCATTCCTCCATTCACTGCAGTTGCTCTCCTATCACACTGCCTAACGAACATGGTGAGTGTCTAGAAACAACTACTTTGAGATAGGGGAAGGCACTGGCCCTGCCA